AACACCTTAAGTAGAGTTAAGTTTTCGGGAGATATTTGAAATCAAAGTTTTAAAATTAAACAACTGATAACCATGTTTAACTGAAAAATATTAAGATTTGTTTGTAATAATGAAATATACAAATTGTGAGAAATTATTGAAGTTATTCATCACAAATTATTCATTAAAATATTTTATTACTAGCACACCTATGCGAGAACACTCTCATATGGAACTCCACCCTCTTCCCTATTTCTATATTAAGAGGAAGAGTTGTTAATGTAACATGTTTATTTGTTCAAAAAATGTATAAAGGTAATTTTCAAAGTAGTTTTAGAATATCAAATTAAAAAAAAGATATTTATGTTTGAAACAAATTTTGTATACATATGTACTCAGTATTATAGTAAGATGAAGTAATTAGACAATCTTCCATGACAGCTAGCTTTTTGCCTTCGTTTGAGAGTCACAAAATACGTTTGCTTTCCACTCTTGAGAAAGCAACGTAAGGTTGTCCATGCGAAAATAAAAGATTTGGAAAGTACTTGAGCTCTTAGAGTTTTATGGGTGCTAGGAGCATTGTATGAAACTATGAATAAGCTTTCTGTTAACAGAGATCCCAGGAATTTCAAAAAAGGTGTTCATGTATGTAAATAGACGCTGTTATTGTTTCTACATCCTCAATTACTATATACAAGTTAAAATATAAATAAAATATTAAACATTTTAAACTATATACACCAGACAGGTGCTATTCTCTCACCTTGTATTTCTTGTTAATTTATGCACAGTTATTGAAACACATACATAAAGTTATGTCATAGATATTGTAAACTGTAAATTGACCAAGCTGATCATTTGCCATATAGTAAAAGACACACAAAGATCATCTATTTACAATGAGGGCACTGGGTACAAATGGAGTTGTAGATTGTCAATCACTCTTTAAGTTAAGAAACTCACAAACCTTATCAAATTAAACAAGCAAACTGCAATTCGTGTACTGTAGAAACTTCACTGGAGGACCATTGGACAAAAAAGTTAGCAAATGACTTTAAATCAGATTCGCTTATGCGGAGAGCTCCAAGAGTCCTAAACAGATTCCAACAGATAGGAAGCACAAGTTAGCAAACCATTGGAATAATCTACAACAGAAGAATAAAACTTTTTTAGTTCCATTAGGAGATATTCATTATTACCACTTGTTACCCGAAACAGATAGTAATCCCCCTATAAGATAAGCGCCTCTAGATGTCATTATTTGAAGTAATCTGACAATGCGACCCTATCTCAGAAAGATAAAATTCATGGTAATCTCCACCACTTTCCATTTTTTGTTATAAAAATAATACAAAAATGCCAGGCATGATAGCTAAATATAGGTGAATCTATTAAATGTGCTTGACCACTGGTTACGTAGCCAGAAGGCTGTTGAAATTTGTGAATATTTACAAGCGTTATATGGAAAAATCGATCACTTTCTAGCACCCCCTTGAAATAAGTTTACTGACCGAAAGTTAGACGCACTATTGGAACCCATACCGATAAGTTTTAGATCGTAAATAATTAATGTATTTGTTCCAGATTGGGAAATTCGAGTCTATGTGGAGTATAATGGACATTCAATTCAGGACGACACCTATGTTGTACCAGAAGATTACACAGCTCTTTTGGGAAGAAGATGAATATTTATTTATTAACAGACTGTGAAATACAAATAATATAATACAAGTATGTACATTATTATTCCACTGAGGAATTAATACAGTGCGTGGGCCTGTTCTCAATCATTTTTTCTCCCCCCAGAGCAACATATGACGATAGAAGATTTATTTACAAGAAGTGGATCAACGACATTCAAACATATTTCCATCAAATGTGAGTGTTAAAGAAGTAGATAAGATTATCAATTTCTAGATATTTTTGAAGAAAAGATTGGACTCATTCGTAATTCCAATGCCCTCTATGGTCAAGTTGAAAGGAACTAAACGCATTGGAAGACGCTGGAATCATCACCAAAATTGAAATCTGCAATTGGGAATATCCTCTTCTAGTATGACCAAAAGCTAATGGAGGGGTTTGTCTGTGTGTCAATTATACGGTCAGGGTAAATGAGAGACCCACAGATGTACATTATCTGATCCGAAAAATTGATGAAATACTTAATAGCTGCAACAATTCCAGTTTTTTCTACCATTTGGGCTTATTTAAGGCTTATTTGCATGTACCATAGATGAGCAATGAAATGAAATACAAATAATTTTGACTCACTGAGGAACTTATTGAATGAAGCGACCAGCTTTCGGTTTCAAAACAGTGCATGCTAAGTTCAGCAGAATGATCAACCAAATCATATGACATGTGCCAAAGACAAAGAAGTACTTTGATGACAGCATAGTCCACAGAAAGACAAGAGAAGAGTGCAAAGTGAATCTTATTGCCTGTTTAAATCAACTTTGGAGGTACAACTTACATCTCAATTATCATAAGTGTGCAGTTTTCAAAGAACGTATCAAATTTCTAGGGCATATGATTTCAACAAAATCTCGAAATCACTCCAGAAGACTACAGCTGTCACTGAAATGAGAAGATCAAAAACAATTGGAGAAGTGAAGACGTTGTGGAGACTAGACACTTATGCTCGGTTCATTCCAAACGTATCATCTAATTACAGCACCATTACGTAATTTGTTGAAGAATGTTTCTTCAATTGAAAGAGGAAATCATGAGCGATAAAGTATTTTGGGTGCTCACGTTGACCACAGCCAGACTGACAAACCGACAGACGTTTGGTTGTCCATCAATTTTGCAGTGTTAAGGACCCACAAAACCTGGATTCTGACTAAACAACGTAATAGATGAAGTAATTTACTAAATACAGGAGCAAGATTTATCCACCTTTTTGTTACCTGGCCTCACCAATAAAGAGCTTTTGTGCAAAAATCACAGTTTTCTGGCGCATGATTACAATAAAGTTTCTTCTGAAGTACATAAGGGTGAGAAAGTAAAATGAAAAAGATAGAATATAGTATCAGGAAAGGGCTTCTGCCATGGATTTATGATGCCCAATATCAAAATATCACATCATTGGAAGTATCCAAACAGTACTGCAAAGATGTGGTTTAGTAGCAAGCGCCACTTCACTTTTAAATTGAAAGCGAAAGTTATAACAATTCTATATTGTACACACTTCATTCAAAAATGTATGAACATGTATTATATTATCTCGCAATTCTTGAGGTTTGTGCACTTTTTTTTGTTTTTGACTTTACGAGTCTCTCTATTTTATATATTATTTTTCTTTTGTTACATCTCAATACTTTACACAGTCATGCAAATTGTTATTGATTACCAGAAACAATACATAAATTCATTACATTTAGGTTACAAATAGAAGTAAACAGTATTAAGATTAAAAAGAAATTACCATGTATTTTAGTAAGATATCCCTTCACATTACCTCCCACGTTTCAATCCAATCCATATAGACTTGTTTATAATCTGATGGAAAAGTTTGCTTTAGGACAGGTTGACTCTCACATCAACTATTAACCGATTAATGTAAAAAAAAATTCTTTATTGGAAAATAACTATTTTTATTTAATAGGAAACTTATATCATATAATGACTGAAAGATTTTAAACTAAAAAAGAAATTCTCACTAGAAAAACAAAACACTTTACTCACATTCCGATGTACACAACTACAACACTCGTCAAAAGGATAACCTACATGTTCTCCACACTAAAACTACACTTTATCAAAAAAGTACCCTAATACAGAGCATTGCACTTAACAAGGAACTAGGCAATGATATTAAAGACATGAACACAAATCATACATTTAAAAGTAAATTGAAAGCTTTCCTGCTTAACAACATGTTCTACAGTGTGAAAGAATATTCAAATCACAACAATATTTCCCTAAAACAAAAAAAATATAAATAAATAAACATTTCTTATCCCATTTGACTTTGTGCTTGATGTTGACTGTTTCAAGCTGAAGCAAAGAGAAAAGAACTGGCATATCGTGTCCTGCAACGTAGAAGGAGAATGCCTGACAAAAATTTCTGTTTCTCTCTGGATTCGCTAAATGCAATAGGTGCTGCAGTAGGACTAGGTGTACAAATAGAAAGAAAAAAACTGGTCAAAACCTGCCCCCTGTTCCTCCTTCCCACCATTTTAAGTTTTAAACATAGAATTTACTAATATTGTTAAATTTTATGTAGTTGCTACCAGAACTGATATCATGTATTGTTTTAATATTCTTATTATTAATATTAATAAGAAGTAAATTTTACTTTTACTTTAAACCTGAAACTGTACAAATCTTGAAATACTAAAATTAATTATCTACTGTATAACATCCTAATCTACCTGTAGCAAGTATTGTAGTATAATTCCTAGGCCGATTAGCCCATCTCGATCAGGTTTTTGTTCAGTTGCCGTGGCCGCTTGAGTAAATGCAGAGATAGTCCCTTGTTTGGCTCCTCAACAGTATTGTTACTTCGCTCTCTCCACCCAAGACATATTGACTCGTCATACATGATTGTTACTGTATATGTGACTATGTCATTCTTAGTGCTGTATACCAATACGAGTGTCTCAGCATTGTCTGTTCAGAACTCGTGACGAAAAACCTCGAGTGCAATGAAATTTAATGGTAGATATTTTGAGGCCACAATCTTAATTGTCAAAAAAGACATAATTTAACAGGTTTTTAAAAAAATCAACTCTTATGATTCCAACATTCAGTTAATGATCAAAAATAAGAAAATGGTCATCTAAACTTTCCTGACATTGAACTTTTCTGTCTAAACAAATGTGTTATTACTGACTGGTATCACAAACCTGTTCATGCTGGTATTTTACTGAATTATCTTTCGAAACATCTTATACAAACGAAGACAAATGTAGTGCATGGATTAGTAAACCGAATGATTAATCTCTCAGACTTGATATTTTATTCAAAAAAAATTTTAAGAAAAGAAATATTAACTTATTACTACACAACAAATATCCCCTCAAATTCATTTCATTGCACATAATGTCTATACTATATGGGTAATAAAGATAGAAATCCTGAGACCACTATTATTTCTTCTATGACAAGATCAATAGATTAAGTCTACCTTACCTTAATGAATGACGAGTTTGTGCCCTCCATAATACAATGTCATTCAACTTAATTTATTTTATCACAAAATTTGTTTATTATTATTGTAAATTTAAAAATCTAATATTGTGCTGTCTTATCTTTTAATTATTTTAAGTTTCATTTTTATGTATTACAGTTTATACCAAAAGATTGGGTCACAACGTTCCCCTGAAATGTCGCAAATGAAGTTATGCGATTGTTAACCTGGCAATATAATAATTTAAATGTCTGTCTAAAATATTGAGTTGTAACAAAGGGAAAAAATACAAATAAAACACACAGATTTATAAAAAGCTAGTGATGCTATACAATTGCACAGACTTTCCTGTATTAGTTTACTGTTTCCTTTTTTTTCAGCTTTATGCACTTGTCACATATTCCAGCCAGATACCATCTATCACCACCCAAAGTATTTTTTTTTGACATTTTCTTAATTTTTCGGTTTTTGTAATAGTAGAAGGGAAAATTTTTAAGAATATTAAAGAATCTTATCATTATTGGCAAAGTTTCTTTGTAAAATTTGGAGCCGGTTTTTAGAAAATGGCATTTAAGCCCTTCTGTAAATTCAAGATTTTTATCTCTTTTTCACAGAAAATTTTAGGGTTTCTGAAAAACTTCATTAGAAGTCATTTGAAGCATGATAACTCACATACACAATAGTGTTTACAAATTGCTGGAAATTTACATATCAAGAGTGTGAGAAATCTTTCAAAAAATTTACATTTGAATAATTTTTTAAAAAACAAACAATATACACCGAAAGCAACTTTAGGTCATATTGAAGGGTGCAATTAACACTATCCTTTCGAAAAGTTTGAAGAAAAAAATTTGGAGCCATTTGTGAGAAAATAGCCTTTGAGTGTTTCTGAAAATGCGGAAATTTGAACTAGTTTTCACAGGAAATGATCGAATCTTCAAGAAACCATACGGGACATTATTTAAAGCACATGTACACATAAATATAATAATATAAACAAATTGCCACTTATGTAAATATTAATAATATGAGAGACAAGTAAAATAAAATACATTTTTGTAATTTTTGAAATACATTTTGGTGTTTAGAGTAATTAACATCCCTAATCCCTATCCCCTAGAGTAAGTAACATCTTATAGAGTAATTAACTACCCCTACCAAACGTGCAAAGAAAAAAAGTTGAGTTGTTTTTAAGAAAATCTTATTTTTGTAATATTTTAAAATTGCATGCAATATTGCACAAAAACTACTAAAATCTTCAAGAAAAGTGTACATGACCTTAATGAAAGAACTCACTATACAGAACAAACTGTATTTGAAGGAAAAATCTTTATATTTAATTCTGTAGTTATAGGAAGACACTGAAAAAAAATTCATTCTTTTGAAATTTTTGAAAATTTAGAGTCAAGCATGAAAATTGGACCTACGTCACCTTCATAAGTGTATTTTACTCTTTTCTTACAAGAAATTTAAACAACAACAAATTATGTTTTAGTTTCCCAGCAAATCAGTGGTTGATGACATTACATTCATGAATATGATAAGGGAAATATTAATATAGAGTAATAGTAATACATTGTTTCATCACTTTTGCAGCTCATTTTTACACCAGCATCTGATTGCCTGATGTTTTCAGCCACATCAAAGGTTGTGGTCATCACTGCCATTAGTGTATTGATATTTTATCCAAGGAGGGAGTTGTGTTCATTTCCTACTTCCTGGATAGTGAGATCCAGTGCTTACTGATATGTTGACTTGCTCGAGATTTCTTACTCCAATCTCCTGCCGCAGAACACACCCCCAGCTGGGACAAGCTCTCAGCTTTTGACATGAGGAAGTGTACTGCATGTAAGTGTAAGAGTGTGTGAACAATGGGAGAGGAGAGGCCAAGGAAAAGGAAAAAAAGATCCCATGTGGTCCGTTTGTTAGGATTTCAATCAACGCACCCATCCACTAGAATTCTCCTCCAGACTTCAGCTGAATTCGATCTATCTATATAACTAGCCACCAATAGGACTCAACCCTAGAACTTCCTTGCCAATATTTGAGCTTCTTGACACTGAAAGGCAATATGAAAACAGAGATCGCAACAGACTAGGTTTAATCTACAAATGTAAGGCAATCCTGTATTTTTTGAGATAGTAAGGAAAAAAAACTCATTTTTGGGTATGTCGTAAATGGTTAGTTACAAAAGAATTATCTTCCATTGTAAATTAGCCCCCAAAAGTTGACTCCAATTTGGGAATAATTTAAAATTAACAATCAATCTTTCTGTAGAAGTAAAGTTATGTAAATCAGTGAAGAAAAATTACTTTTTGAAGTTCAGCTGAACATCATAGACAGCACCAACTTTTCCTCTCAAATATGGTAAGCTGTAGGTAAATCCTCTCGTTCGAGGAGTCAGGTGATGCTTTAAATCAGGCAAGCCCTTTTCTTGTGCGAAATGCTGGCTTGCAGTATGCTTTTCTTGGGTGAAACGTGTACCTTCTGCCATCAAAAGAAGCTGCAAAAATATATTTAAAAAATTAATTAATTAATGTCTCTTCCCTAGAAGTATCATACACAATTGAGAAAATGTAAGACAAAATAGTTCTGAGAAAATGGAGGATGATACATTTCACAAGCTATCAGAAGAAACACTTCTTAGAAAGAGTGAAGAAAAAGAAGAAGAAAAAAAAGTGCAACAAACATATCCTACTCCTTATTTATAAATAAGTCTCATTCAACTGCATTCTTGATTTCAAATTACAGCTGAAGTCTAGTACTCGGTACAACTTCAGAACCGGCACTTCACGCTGCCCCAGCACAGCTTGAATTCTGGAGGCTTTCTTGAAAGTGCTTTCTTATAAAGATGAATTGGTAATTATGCGGTGGATATACTCAAGGATGTTTATAGTGAACGCGAGGACCGAAGGCCAGAGCCTCGCCGTGACTTGGATCCGGGCGAGCGAAGTGAGAAAACTTGCCGTTGAAAGTAAATTAGCAATACAATTCGCAGGGGACAAAGCGTATGGAGGATGAGCCATGAAAACCGTCTATCTGTAAGTTTTATTCATTTCTATCAGAGCGTGAAGGGTAATTTGAGGCAAGGCTAAGGAGACCCCTCGCCACCACACTTCTCTCAGGATGTACCGTGTACCCTACTTTAAACCAAATTACAATTGTATCATCATTTCTATCACAAATGCATTTGCAGTAAATTAATGTTGTAGATAATACTTCCAAATACAAATTTTCAATCTGACAATCTGATCCTTATCTTATTTCGTTGTAGTAAATTATATTACTCAAGTCTGAAGATCTGTTGTAGACATTGATCACTGAGAGAGAGTCACAATAAAAATTTTACAAGCTGACCTTTTTCACTTTTTTCAAGCTTCATGTTTTTACTTATTGTCCCAGTCCATTATTGATTTGCATGTGTTCACCAAACATTAAATGATTATCTCTCACTGAGCCCTTCACAATTTTGCTTTCATGTAGTTTGAATTTCAAATAAGCTTGAAGGAAATAATTGAAAATGTCATATTGTACGACTAAACCAATAACTACGACCGTACTCAATAATTTCATCCCTACTGTATTACTAATCATTGACCTCTGACAGAACACAAATATTTCAAAGTAATTTCACTCTTAAATGAAGTCATTCTGCACTACTGCACAAATCCATCCATATTTTATCCCTTTATAGGTCTATGTCCAGCATATTTTTTATATTTTTTTGATTTGTGTTCAATTCAATCAGGTAATTATGGTAAATATTGAATGCAAAAATCTACCAAAAAATTACAAAATACTTTTTGTTCCATCACATACCAGCCCACATTTTTCTATATAAGAAATGTGCAAAAGATTCAGCTTAATGATGCACTTTTATCCACAAATCCAGGTAACATCAGCTTTACAGACAGGTTTATGCAATGTTTCTTCATGCTTTCCAGAAGTAATTTTTAACACAACAAATGTTCACAACATGACTGTGATATACAAAGAAAGACAACTAACAAACATGTTGTTCATTACAAAAAATTGGAAATTTCATAAAGAATGAATTACATGCAGAAAGAATCCAATAAGCTTACCCACATACTGTCAGGATATTCTACTAATTCCCGAATTTGTCTTCCTATAGTCTCTTTGTCTTTCTCCCAGCTACGTTCCAAAAATACACTTTCACCAAGTCGCCACGCCCACCCCATGGTAGGTACATATTGAATAGACTTTTTTGCGTATGTTTTGCAATTCTGGAAGTTAAGAAAAATTATTTTTCTTGGTCTCTTCAATTTAAAATAAATATATAATTACAAAACATTCAAGTAATAAAGAAAAGCTTACCCCTAGTAGCTTTACACGTTCACACAAGAGCCATCCAACCAGCCAATCAGTTTCATACCTGTGATTCATAATAAGGTAACCATGTTCTTTCCCATAATATTTTTCAAAATCATCTTTATCAATATATAATAATAAATCAGTATCTCCCCACCACTCTGCTAAGAACACCAACTCTGTAAGTATTCAAGAATTACATTTGAAGAAATCATTCTGCAAACAAATTCAAATAAAAAACTTTTAAAATTGGTTAATTACTGTGGGATGCAATTATTAAATTTCTCTGGTTCCTTTAATTAAATAATTTTTGTTTGTGAATATTTTCGATGAAAAATAATAATAAAATTAATAATAAAAAAACACAGAAAAAGGTATACTTACGGCAATATAGTGAATATGCTAAATAATAATTGATCTTCCGGAAAAGGAATTTGCTGAATGGCCGGACACCAAAATATAGAATACACTGTATCAAGTTGATAATGACACCGGACACAAGAAAGGTTATAGCAAGCATAAGACGAGAAACAGGTGATCGCTTAATTTGAGTCACAAGACCCTCCATTTAGAATGTATCTGAAAATAAAATTCATAATACAATTTTTAAAATCTCAGTTAATCAATTATTTCCATTTATCTGCAGATAATAACTAAAATATTAACTTTCATGGGCCTGACACAATTAATGCCCACAAAGAAATCCAGTTTACTCTTGTAAGACAAGCAAAAATCAACACATTTACATGAGTTTCATAACTAAATATATTGTAATATCATCAAAACCTAATCTGTAACAAGATTAACCTAATCCAACCCGGCAAATGTTTTCATAAACTCACATAAATAAATAACATGAACAAAGATATTACCAAATAAAACTATCTAAACAATTCCCATTCTGTTACTCAAATCAAATGACTTTCAATAATTATATTGAAATGTTATCAATAATTATAATAGCAATGAAAGAATGAACAACTCCCATTTCCTCTACATTCCTCATACTAAAACGCAAATAATAATAATAATATAAAATAAATAATAACATAATCAAAAAAAAAAAAAATGTGGCAAATAAAATTTCAAAATACACAGTTTAAAAAAAAAAAATTTTAATATACTTTACACATTAATTAATGAAATAATAATTTTGCCAATATCAAGTACCTGACACAATACAACAAATAATCTAAGAGACTACACACTTCCTCTCCACTAAATCGTTACACTCATGTTGTTTCTTAATAACTGTTCAAAGCACTTCAATATTCCAGTCTTATCATAGACAAGTGATACAACCTTTGAACAGCAGAAAGCTCTTGTCTTGTTATAGTATATACTGTGTAGGTCAGTAAAATAAGTTATCAACACACTTCACAAAATCAAATAAAAATAAATCAGTTTTACACAGCAGGAAATATGTAAATTGTTCACAACCACAATATAGTGATTTTCTGTAAAAATACTCCACGATCACGCCACTACTAAAAGAAAATAACACAATAATTGCTAAGGCCACAGGTTAAATAATGTGGTTGTGAATGACGGGCAGGTTCAAGGCTGAACTGAGATTCAAGATTGTGTCCACCATCTCTTTCGAGAAAACTTACATTTACAACTTCGGTCACGTACAAATATTTGTCCCAATTAAAACTACTTCAAAAATAGTATTCGTATATATTTCTCCCTCAGCACATTCATGCGCAATACACGGGCAACACTTAAAATATTGAACCCTCCATAGTTGTTGTTTTCAACAAAGTGTCCTCTTCAGGCAGGAATTGGAATTACTGACGTAGGACATGAGACTGTTGCTTTGCGCTTTCTCATCACTGTGCCCTCTTTTTCCACGTATAGTCGAGATAATAAAGTACGGATTTGTTCATTTGTTTTCTTTTCTCATATACGTACTATTTACGGAGTAGAATACTTGGTACAGATAAAGTTAAATAATACTCGGGAAGACAGATTTCGAGATTTCAACGATAATACACGTTTTGGGAACCCATGATTCCAAAAAAGTGTTTTTTTATATTCTTTTAAACATCCGTCCGTTTGTTCGTCCTGTCTGTCGGATGGGAACAACACTACCACCTAAATTATGTAAAGGATTGTTTCCAAATTAGATAAAACCCTGTCGATTTGGCCTAACTCAAAGCTCTGCGATTGTGAAAAACACTCATTAATTTTTAAGCTCAAATACTCAGCCGATTATCTTCAGAATTGATATTTTCCAATCGATCTGATTGATGTCGCGGCATCTTGTATTTGAAACCGATATTTTAATTTGCGAAGCTACTTTACATGAATGAAATTATTTATTAGCCGAAATCGACGAAAAAAGCAAAATAATGACATATAAAAATTTCGTTTTGTCATAATATACAATGAATTTCTATACTAACCGACATTGGTTTAAAGTGAAAGAAAAAAGGTGACATTTAATTAAAATCCGCCCCCTAGATATAACACTAGTTTGTGTTCATATATGCCAGCTGAAATACTGCTTTCCTTTGCAGATTTTCTACTTTTCCCAAGGGTATATTGCCTGATGATTTGTTTGAAATATTAGTCTTTTAAAAGGAAATTCCGTTTATTTGGTTTGACATATTTTTGATATTTTTTATTTGAAAATGTTTATATATATTGTTAAAATCCATTACAATAGCTATTGTTCAGAAATTTGTGTTACTGTCAATTGCTAATTAAGTGTAATTGATAATTACAATATACTGTGCCAATAAAAAAATACAATTAAAAATTATTATATACTTACAGTATTTTGAGTATTTGAAGTATTTTAAATACGTATGTATTTAGTAGATGAAGTCCTAATATATTTTGTGTATTTAAACATAATACATATATATATATATATAATATATATTTAATATATATATATATATATATATAATATAATAAATATTATGCCAAAACAATAAAAAATATTATAAATATTTGGCATAACCCTGCAGGTTTTGGGAGTGTTTATCAGCAATGCAAATTTTTGCATTGGAAGTATATTATCAAACCAACTTTTGAGTGTTTATTGTGGCTCAGCCATAGAGTTACCACCTATTGGCACATACTCACCCGAAGATTTCCATGAGCCGGGGGGGATGTTTTATTTAATGTTTATACATATTTCTTTAATTGTACAATTATAATTTTAATTTATTAGCTTAGAAACAATCAAATAAATTACATTTCCCTAGTCAACAATCTATAAAATAAATGATTAAATTAAAAATAGAATCTCTACATTACTTTTCTGTAATATTTATTTTTAAAAACTAACTTTTCTTCCAAGTGTATTTCTCATTTGAAACGGCTTTCTTTAGTAAGCATACTTGCTTCTTATTGTATATGAATTTGTGAAATTCGGCGCAAGACATACATCATAGTTTAGTTTTGTAAAGAGTTCTGCGTTGACTAATTCGACCCTCATCCTGTTTCTCAAATCGGACCAAATATTACTCATAATTGAAAAAATCCGTTCTACGTAAGCATTACTTACGGGAATGAACAAAACCCTGCTAACAATTTTAGGTAGTTCTTTAAAATAATCAGTTGCAGAAAAAATTTTGACCCATATAATGTCTTGAATTTCTCTTTTGGAAAGAGTTTTTGATACTACTTGTATTTCATTGTACAAATTATATTCGTTAATATTTGCATTTACTATTCCCGCAACTTGTACAAAGCTATTCTCTTCACCTTTCTTCAAATTGAGAATATTAAAATACTGAAAGGGACTGTGATCATAATTGTACCATTTTTCTATATCTAGAAAATACAGAAAATGCGTGCAAATTCTTGAAATCTAAGAATCAGAAACATTTGAACGCGTAGTACATTCAATGTTGTGCATGACCCGGAGATGGAAGTAGTAAACCCGGAGCCCGGAGATTGCTCACGAAACCCAGAGTCTCCGGGTGAAACCCGAAGAGGTGGCAACTTTAAGTAGTACCTTAGACATAATTTGCTTAAAACTATTTAAGAGTTTATTTTCCAAGTTTAGATGTTTCCTCCCTGGTCAAGCGCACTCCCTGAGCAAGAAGTAGCGAGGAAAAAAATAACAAAACTCTCAAAAATGGCTTCAATTTCTTCTAGTGCTAAATGTACTGCATCAGGTGACATAAACACCACTTTGCTCTATTGTTTTTCCAAAAATTGCAAAAATGAATTTCTTTTACTTGTCACATCGTTAATATTTCCACTAGCGGTGATTTGTTCACATTCTTGCATTTATGAGTAAATGTGCTTCATATGATGTCTAATAAAGTTTCTCGAAAACTCAATCTGGGAGAGAGGTCTCAGGGCATTAACTGATATCACTGTAGTCCGGGAGGTCCTAGGTTCGAGTGCCGACGGTGGCAGGATTTTCGACACTAGCTTGTCAACTATAGCAGAACAAGTTAGAAATCTCCCTTCGACTGCGCATGCGCGAGGAGGTGACTCCACCATCAACCGCTACTTCTGAGAATATCGCTCTCTCGCACTGCGCGCCAACCGGCGCGGGTGAGGTCGGGGGAAGGGAAGGCCCGGGCTGGTGTAGCTGAACGCGCAGTAGTCAGCTACCCAAATCAAAACAATTTCAGCTATCTATGCACAAACGCTCACTCTTAACATATTAAGGTAAAAGAAACACGTGTATAGGTTGCATCGCCCCAGGCCCTCAGTCCTATTCCTTTCGTCTTTAAGTCTTGTACAGACGTGTATCTTCGCGTACGTCTAATTTCAAGTGAAGTTTACAGGCGTAAAATTGTGTTTGTTTCTAAGACAACCGTTCGCAGTTATTGTGGCCTCAACAACAAGCTCCCTTCTTCCCATTCCGATCTCAATCCTATGGGATTAGTTTGGGGTTTCATTAAGAATCGTGTTGCTAAACAAAGCAGCGGTACCCCTCTGCAAATTAAAGAAAATGTATGCCGAACATTATTTTCTGAATATTGCCCGCATCAATGGAAGAAGCGAAATATATGAATAGAGACATGATCGTGGACGAAGAAGTGGACAAAATTATTGTTTCTTTACGTGACATTTCCTCTGAATCCGAAAAGGACGGTGGCGATTGCAATGAGAGTGACGAGTTGCTTCTCCTCGCTGGGGGAGGGCGACGAATCGCATAGGCCAAGAAATTTGCCACTACAGCAGCGGTGGGGGAAGCCCCCGAAAATTGTGGCTGGTGTGGGTTCGCGTCGGACCGTAGTCAGAATCAAACCGGCTTTTGGTTTGGATTGCAAACGCCCTCAGAATATCTAAGAGGGAGTGCTTGTCTTCTTTGTCTTATAGTGAGGATGTGTCAAGATAATTGTTTTAGCGTTGCCGAAGCTTCGTTGGGTTGAAAGGCTTGATAGGCTTCGTTAAACGAAATCCGTCTCAAGCATTGAGTGAAGGACTCCGTATCAAGTTCCTTCCTCAATACTTTCAACCGTTTTCGAAACGTGCTGTGAGGGCGTACTATGAACCGTAGAACTTTGGTCTGTATTAGCTCAAGTGTATCCTTATATTTCTGTGCTGTGGTGCACCTCGTTGCCGCGGCATGGGTGGCCACAGGATGGCAACACGTTTTATAGAGTGCCAAGCGAAGTTCCAAGGGGAATGTTAGTCCCCGCGATCGCTTTTCTACCTCTTCATTGGTATATCATCTCCCCTTACACACACTCTCACGTGCACCACACTTCCATACATGCCGGGGAGCTTAGAGCTTGTCTCGGCTGGGGCGCTGCCCCGCAGGTGGGAGATACCTGGTTGGGGAAAGCCCCGGTAGCCGACGGTAGGCCGGCGTCGGATCTCGCCAGACTTCGGGGAAGAAGACCGTCACCTCCCAAGCAAAAACGCATACTACACTTACGGGCCCAACGACCCTTGTAGGTGACGCGCCCGGAATCGCAATCAATGAATCAATCAATCGAAAACTCAATATTTTTCGGTGAAAATTAGCTCGAATTTCCGCATTTTCAAGAACACTAACGTCATTCTCTCAGAAACGCCCTAATCTTGTCCTCTCGCTTTTTGTACGGATAATACTAAATGCGCTGTTTAAGATGGCACAGGTCATTTAGCTATATTCTTTTGTTTCCCCCCCCCAAAATACTTGTCTTTTTGTTATTTTGTTTATTTATTGAAATCTCTTTCACGTCGTTAATATGCCCATTTCCTTCAATTTATATACATTAATGCATTTGTGATTAGAAATGCTTAAAATGAAGTTTTTTTCGAAAATTCAAAAGTTTTTTGTTAAACAGCTTCTAATTTAGCAGTGCACTAACTCTTAAACAACATTTTCTTATAAACGGCTCCAAATTTCTTAACGAAAATTTCCATACAGGACGAAGTTTTACTCTTCTTAAGTTATATTTCAGTTCTACCATTAAAAATCCGAAAAATTAAGAATTAAAAAAAATTAGTTAGGGCGGCGTTTAATGGCAGCGTGCAAAAGGATAAGGCAAGACCGAAAATCAATCCTAGACCAAAGAAATTAGGAAACTAACTAGAATCTGTGCCTTTTGGAAATATGGTTATTGATTATTGTAACATATATTAATAAAAATGAAGTGTCTGTGATTTGAAAAAATGCTTCATTTCCAGCTCATATGGTTATACAAATGTTTACTTTCCCGCCACAGCTTACGCAGTATAGATAATGTTATGTAATGCTGCAGGGAAAATGGCGAATTTCGGACACAAAAATGCTAATTTTAGGGACCTGATAGTTAAAACGTGGATAAATCCAGTTGCTTAATACTCTAGAAACGTTGTGCTAAAGCAACACGAACTTTCTCGCCTTTAGTAATGATTATGTAATACTATTTATACAACAATTTCTCTTCGAATTGACAC